TCAGTATGCTTCGTTCAGTTGCCATATTGCTGAAGTGGCTGAAGATATATCCACCCAAAACTATGATCACTTTCTTCCTCGTCCACACAAGTATCGTCGAAGTGGACTTATGGTCAGCAGATATAATGTTGTCTCTTTTAGCATTAGGTTAGTATCTGAGGTGGGAGATGGCCTGCACTTCTCTTCCTGTAAACTCAGTAACTGTCCCAATGCTAACTTCCCTCAACACTACTGCCTTGACTGTCCCACTGTCAGGGACCTCCTACCACAGGAAGAGTCACTGACCACTATGTCACCTCCTACTTATACATAATAATTTAGATTTAATTCTTGTATGCTACCCACTCTTTGGTGGTGCTAACTCCCAGTCCTTAAATCATATAAATATTGTCTCCATACCACAAGTTATAGTGTGTTCTGCATGACACGAGTACCAATGTAATACACTGGTACCCGTGTCTCTCGGGACGCAGTAGGACTTGTAATATGGAGACAATATAAATATGATGTCAATAAATAATATATTATGATTCCAGTTCACTGTATACACAATGTAATATACAAGTGACCCAAATTTATACAAAATACTCATCTCTATGAGTTATTGGCAGTCACCTTCAACCCTTGCCATCATGTTGTTTAATAATATTCTATCTAGAATCATTTCCAGCAATAATTACGGTCATAAAACAGTAAATTATCATAAATATTACCTTGGCTCCTCCCCGGGTGTCGTCCAGACCAATCTAACATTTGGCTCTCAACTCAAAATATAAACCAGCCATGGAATCTTCTGCTCATTAAATTCCATAAATACAAAACTTATTATTTTAATGCTTCTTTACTCATAATGAATTTTAGGGCAATTACAGCAATATTAATTTAGTACATCCACATACAGTATCTGAAGACCAGCCATTACTGTACACTTGTTCTACAATATTGGGGTTGTAATAAAATATTCAGCAATAGTTTAAATACTTATATCTCATTCTGTAAGATATTAATGTTTGTGGCACATCATGGCCAAACATAAAGTGTATACAGGCAGTCCCCGAGTTACGACCGTCCGACTTACCATCACCCGCACTTATGAACGGGATCCCAATACATTCACCACAAAAACTTGTAATTAAAATCCCATTTTTTACATTATTTTTATCCTTATATATTGTTTAACATCACTTTATTTACATTATTTGTTATATATGGGATATTATTGTTGTTTTGTATGGGCTTTAACCTAACCTAAACTATGGGTCCAGGAATGTATCCCTGTTGTAAGTTGGGGACAGCCTGTATTAACATAAAACTATATATTCAGGTGCACAAAATTAATGACATTCTTGTAGCAATCATTTTTTAAAACACCATTGCTAGATAAACACATGCCAGTACTATTAGGAAAAGTTGTATATAAGAACAGCAAATATCTAAATACTGTATGTTAATTTAAACAAGTCTTCTGCTTGACATGATCAAACAACTAATTTTAACCCAGAGTTTGACATTTCAGCATTGGCTACTATAAGAAAATGACTGTTCCAGGGATGAATTTATATATAACCAAGAAGAGTTACCTAACTAAGGTCCAAGATGCTAACTGAACAATATATTAAGCATGATATTATATACAGTTAAGAGGTGTTAAAGTTCATCTGCCCCATAACACCAGGTACTATATATGAACCCTAACCATTATTTACCAGACAATGGTACCATATATCTGTAAGTGATGAAAGAATATATTTAAAACATGAATCAAAACTACCAACCATTTTAGTCTTATCAAAATATCTCGTCAGAGTTGAGCAAAACTTATCAAATATTTACGTACAATTTCAACAGAGATTGAAGAGTTTCCGTGAGATAGTGACAACACCTTGACTATAACAAATGGTCTACCACCACTGTACTACTTTACCAAGATGATTTACTACCCGTGTTAATGTACGTACTTGTAACAAAACTTACGTCAAGTGTAAATAAAGACAGACATACACAGTTGACACAACTACTGATGCACAAATTATAGTAAATGAGAGTTCATCAATGTTCAACAAAGCTTATCTAGTGAAGATGAAATTTTAAGCACAAAGATGATAAGTTTTACCTTTGCTTACTACTGTACTGTAAATAACATTTAAAAGGCTGATGAAACAAAATGGAGAATTATTATGAGTGATATTTAACCAACACCAAATGTATACACTAAGGCCATGGTAGAAGAAATTTACATCTTAAAAGCAAATAATTATAACTTGTGTTTGATATCTATAAAAGTGGCATTTGTCACTTGTCTTTATTTCTGCTACATTCATAGAGTTTGTTCAAGTGGTTTTATATTGATGTATATCACTGTATTCAAGTTTATGTGGCACATTTACCTTCTGTTAAAGTCACTCAAACATTTATTGAATTCTGTTTTTTTCATGCACAAGTTTATGACATTTGAGATGACCCTTGCGTGAGAAACATTTCCCACATTCTTCACATTCAAACTCCTTTATACCACAGTGTCCAAGAATGTGTCTCTTGAGATTAACCTTTTGTAAGAAACATTTCCCACATTCCTCACATTCAAACTTCTTTATACCTCTGTGTCCAAGAATGTGTGTAGTGAGATTACTCTTCCGTGAGAAACATTTCCCACATTCCTCACATTCAAACTCCTTTATACCACTGTGTCAAGAATATGTCCCTTGAGATCACTCTTGCGTGAGAAACATTTCCCACATTCCTCACATTCAAACTCCTTTATACCACTGTGCCCAAGAATGTGTCTCTTGAGAACATTCTTCTGTGAGAAACATTTCCCACATTCCTCACATTCAAACTCCTTTATACCACTGTGTCCAAGAATGTGTCTCTTGAGAGCACTCTTGCGTGAGAAACATTTCCCACATTCCTCACATTCAAACTCCTTTATACCACTGTGTACAAGAATGTGTGTAGTGAGATGACCCTTTTCTGCAAAATGTTTCCCACATTCCGCACATTCAAACTCCTTTATACCACTGTGTCCAAGAATGTGTCTCTTGTGAGCACTCTTGCGCGAGAAACATTTCCCACATTCCTCACATTCAAACTCCTTTGTACCACTGTGTCCAAGAATGTGTCCCTTGAGATCACTCTTGTGTGAGAAACATTTCCCAGATTCCTCACATTCAAACTCCTTTATACCACTGTGTCCAAGAATGTGTCTGTTGAGATGATTCTTGCTCGAGAAACATTTCCCACATTCCTCACATTCAAACTCCTTTATACCACTGTGTCCAAGAATGTGTCTGTTGAGATGATTCTTGCGTGAGAAACATTTCTTGCATTCCTCACATTCAAACTCCTTTATACCACTGTGTCCAAGAATGTGTCTCTTAAGATGACTCTTCTGTGAGAAACATTTCCAACATTCCTCACATTGAAACTTTTTTATTCCACTATGTCCAAGAATGTGTCTCTTGAGAGTACTCTTTTGTGCAAAACGTTTTCCACATTTCTCACAGTCAAACTTCTTTATTCCACTGTGTCCAAGAATGTGTTTCTTGAGAGTACTCTTAGATGATAAATGTTTCCCACATTCTTCACATTCAAACTCCTTCATACCATTGTGTATAAGTAAATGTGTCTGAAGAGTAGACTTTAAACAAAACTGTTTGCCACATTCCTCACAGGAGAACTTTTTATCTCTGCTTGACATTGTGAACTTCTACTTAGTTACACTTGGTCTTGAGATGTGACATCACAGTATCTGAAACAAAATATTTTGCCTTAGATAATATTTTTATAAAAATTACAATTTATAAATGAAAACTACAAGTGACTAAATCAACTTGTGTAAAATGAAAATATTCTAAAAGTAATTCGTTTTAATTACTAGTTAATCAGGTTTACGCCAAAGTTTGAGGGAATTATGGAGCGCAGACATCACCACCAACTGTCCCTCATATTTACTCAGTGGTTCTGTTATTTCACCAGTTTCATCTTGACCAAGCTCACTAGGACTGTCTTCCAATCATATCACTGTCTTCCTAATCACTTTAGTAGACACAAGAATATTACTGCTGTAAGAGTCAGTAAGACACTGGACCCACTAAGCCAGACGACACACACACTCTCTCTACAGCTTCACTCATCATGTTACAACAATATTACTATCTGCTAACTCTATAGGTGAAATGATTGACACAAACATATTGGATTGAAACAAAGTGTGAATGATTTTAAATGTGCAAGAATGTGTTGGATGTGACCTCAGCTGGAGGCACAGTAACACTTAATGCCAACACACAGGAGGAAACAGCAGACAAAACTGTGTCACAACTCCCTGAGGAAACCAAACACTACCTACCTACCAGATGCCAATAAATGAGACAGCTGGTATGAAGGTACCCTGTACAAGAAGGGCATGAGAGTCTTCACCACCATGTAAGCTAACATCAATCCTCTATTGTTTGGCTGAATTAGGAGTAACAGGAAGACCCACTTCCCTGTCTCCACCTTGTGATTCATCTTATAGTTGAGACTCAATATCACTTTATTATGGTACTTAACTTATGAGTCTAATGACCACACTAATATTAATGTACTACAGGAATGTCAACATACCCAAAGGGTTAAGATAGTATCAGGGATTAAGGCATTGTACTAAGAGGTTAAGTCAAGTGATATACAGTATTTCTTATGGAATATTTACTTGAATAAAATTACAAATGATATCTCTCTCAACACTATAATTACACACAGACTATCTCACCTTATTCTGCACAAGTTGTTAGTGTGTCATATCAGCCTGGGTAGTCTCTGGCAGGTTATATCAGCCTGGGGTAGTCTGTGGCAGGTTATATCAGCCTGGGGTAGTCTCTGGCAGGTTATATCAGCCTGGGGTAGTCTGTGGCAGGTTATATCAGCCTGTAGTCTGTGGCAGGTTATATCAGCCTGGGGTAGGCAGGTTATATCAGTCAGGTAGTCTGTGGCAGGTTATATCAGCCTGGGGTAGTCTGTGGCAGGTTATATCAGCCTGGGGTAGTCTGTGGCAGGTTATATCAGCCTGGGGTAGTCTGTGGCAGGTTATATCAGCCTGGGGTAGTCTGTGGCAGGTTATATCAGCCTGGGGTAGTCTGTGGCAGGTTATATCAGCCTGGGGGAGTCTGTGGAGGTTATATCAGCTTGGGTAGTCTGCAGGTTTATCAGCCTGGGGTAGTTGTGGCAGGTTATATCAGCCTGGGGTAGTCTGTGTTATATCAGCCTGGGGTAGTCTGGTAGAAACAACAGCGTAGCAGCAGGTTATATCAGCCTGGGGTAGTCTGTGGCAGGTTATATCAGCCTGGGTAGTCTCTGCATATATCAGCCTGAGGTAGTCTTCTAGGTTATATCAGCCTGGGGTTCTGGCAGGTTATATCAGCCTGGGGTAGTTCTGTGCAGGTTATATCAGCTCAGTAGTCTCTGGCAGGTTATATCAGCCAGGGGTAGTCTCTGCAGTAGATATCAGCCTGGGGGTCTCTGGCTGGTTATATCAGCCTGGGTAGTCTCGGCAGGTTATATCAGCTCAGTAGTCTCTGGCAGGTTATATCAGCCAGGTAGTCTCGGCAATATCAGCCTGTAGTCTCTGCAGGTTATATCAGCTCAAAGTCTCTGGCTATATCAGCCTGGGAAACCTGGTAGCTATACTGCCTGGGTAGTCTCGCAGGTTATATCAGCCTGTCCTGCAGTTATATCAGCCTGGGGTAGTCTCTGCAGGCTATACGCCTGGGTAGTCTCTGGCAGGTTATATCAGCCTGGGGTAGTCTGTGCAGGTTATATCAGCCTGGGGTAGTCTGTGGCAGGTTATATCAGCCTGGGGTAGTTCAGGCAGGTTATATCAGCCTGAGTAGTCTCTGGCTGGTTATATCAGCCTGGGGTAGTCTGTGGCAGGTTACTAGCTCAGTAGTCTGTGGCAGGTTATATCAGCCTGAGGTAGTCTCTGGCAGGTTATATCAGCCAGGGTAGTCTCTGGCAGGTTATATCAGCCTGGGGTAGTCTCCGGCAGGTTATATCAGCCTGGGGTAGTCTCTGGCAGGTTATATCAGCCCTGGGGTAGTCTCTGCAGGTTATATCAGCCTGGGGAAGCTGTGCAGGTTATATCAGCCTGGGGCTCAGGCAGGTTATATCAGCCTGGGGTAGTCTCTGGCAGTTATATCAGCCTGGGTAGTCTCTGGCTCAGGTTATATCAGCCTGGGTAGTCTCTGCAGGTTATATCAGCCTGGGTAGTCTCTCGGCAGGTTATATCAGTAGTCTGTGCAGGTTATATCAGCTCAGTAGTTCTCGGCAGGTTATATCAGCCAGTAGTCTCGGCAGGTTATATCAGCCGGTAGTCTCGGCAGGTTATATCAGCCTGGGGTAGTCTGCAGGTTATATCAGCCTGGGTAGTCTCGGTACATATATCAGCCAGGGGTAGTCTGTGGCAGGTTATATCAGCCTGAGGTAGTCTCTGCAGGTTATATCAGCCTGAGGTAGTCTCTGGCAGGTTATATCAGCCTGGGGTAGTCTCTGCAGGTTATATCAGCCTGGGGTAGTCTCGCAGGTTATATCAGCCTGGTAGTCTCTGGCAGGTTATATCAGCCTGGAGTGTCTCTCGGTAGGTTATATCAGCCTGAGGTAACAATAATATACATATATTAATATATATGGGATAAACAACTTGGTTAATGTAAAACAAAGTGATGTTATACTGTCATCAGCTTTGTGTTGTCTGTTGTTGTGATAAAGGTAACACACACAATGGGACAACTTAACACAACACAACATTTTACTTACTTACTGTAAATTAATTTACAGTGTCCAGTTGTTTAGTTAATATAGTTAAACATAGTTGGGGTCACCTGAAGATTGGTCCCAGCTTATTTCACTTAACATTAACCACTGTGATGCTCTCCTAACTTAACTTACTTAACCACACTTAACCTAACCTAACATGACTTAACCTAATCTAACATGACTTAACCTAACCTAACATGACTTAACCTAATCTAACAAGACTTAACCTAATCTAACATGACTTAACCTAATCCAACATGACTTAACCTAATCTAACATGACTTCAACCTAATCTAACATGACTTAACCTAATCTAACATGACTTAACCTAATCTAACATGACTTAACTCTAATCTAACATGACTTAACCTAATCTAACATGACTTAACCTAATCTAACATGACTTAACCTAATCTAACATGACTTATCCTAATCTAAATGACAACCTAATCTAACATAGACTTAACCTAATCTAACATGACTTAACCTAATCTAACATGACTTAACTATAACATGACTTAACCTAATCTAACATGACTTAACCTAATCTAACATGACTTAACCTAATCTAACATGACTTAACCTAATCCAACATGACTTAACCTAATCTAACATGACTTAACCTAATCTAACATGACTTAACCTAATCTAACATGACTTAACCTAATCCAACATGACTCTAACCTAATCTAACATGAACCTAATCTAACATGACTAACCTAATCTAACATGACTTAACCTAATCTAACATGACTTAACCTAATCTAACATGACTTAACCTAATCTAACATGACTTAACTAATCTAACATGACTTAACCTAATCTAACATGACTTAACCTAATCTAACATGACAATCTAATCTAACATGACTTAACCTAATCTAACATGACTTAACCTAATCTAACATGACTTAACCTAATCTAACATGACTTAACCTAATCTAACATGACTTAACCTAATCTAACATGACTTAACCTTACCTAACAGCCAACACAATATTGTATGGTGAAGGAGATGGTTAGCACCAGAAATACCTTATGAAATTGAACCAAAATTTCAGATATAAAACATGCAAAAGGGAATGAGAATCTACAGAACCTGACCCAACCAGTCTAACCAAAACTTCCTAGCCTTACCTAAGATTCTGTTTAATATGGCAGAGGGTCTGTCACTTGGCTAGGATGTTAGGTAAGGTAAGGTCAGGTTCTGTTAAGTTCTGTGCATTCATGTTTCCATTTTCTGGTTCAGTATTATCAAATAGTGTCTCCACTATTCATGGATGATAGAGAGTGGTAGTAGCTCTCGACAGGAGCTGCCATGCACAGGCCAACCAGCCTATTGCAGACTCCTTATTTTCTTATGTTCTTTGTCCTAAACACAATATTATGAACATTAATTTGTCTCCTAAACGGCATTAAGTGAACGTATCTTGTTAGTGTCAGTGTTAATTTTGTCTCCTAACTGGTGTTAAGTGAACTGTATACTACATAACAAAACCACATAAACAAACAAACAAAAACACCACAAAACAAAACTACATTGTGTATATACATGGAACTGTATACCTTGTGTATATACATGGTGAACTGTATACCTACATTGTGTATATACATGGTGAACTGTATACCTACATTGTATATACATGGTGAACTGTATACCTACATTGTGTATATACATGGTGAACTTACCTACATATATACATGGTGAACTGTATAACACATTGTGTATATACATGGTGAACTGTATACCACATTTTATATACATGGTGAACTGTATACCTACATTGTGTATATACATGGTGAACTGTATACCTACATTGTGTATATACATGGTGAACTGTATACCTACATTGTGTATATACATGAACGTATACCTACATTGTGTATATACATGTGACCTATATCCTACATTGTATATATACATGGTGAACTGTATACCTACATTTTGTATATACATGGTGAACTGTACCATTATGTATATACATGTGAACTGTATACCTACATTGTGTATATACATGGTGAACTGTATACCACATTTTATATACATGGTGAACTGTATACCTGTATTTTATATACATGGTGAACTGTATACCATATTATATCATGTGAACTATACCTGTATTGTGTATATACATGTGAACTGTATACCTACATTGTGTATATACATGGTGAACTGTATACCTACATTTATATATACATGGTGAACTGTATACCTACATTGTGTATATACATGGTGAACTGTATACCTACATTGTGTATATACATGGTGAACTGTATACCATTGTGTATATACATGGTGAACTGTATACCTACATTGTGTATATACATGGTGAACTGTATACCACATATTATATACAGAACTGTATACCTGTATTGTGTATATACATGGTGAACTGTATACCTACATTGTGTATATACATGGTGAACTGTATACCTACATTGTGTATATACATGGTGAACTGTATACCTACATTGTGTATATACATGCTGAACTGTATACCACATTGTGTATATACATGGTGAACTGTATACCCACAATTGTGTATATACATGGTGAACTGTATACCTACATTGTGTATATACATGGTGAACTGTATACCTACATTGTGTATATACATGGTGAACTGTATACCTACATTGTGTATATACATGGTGAACTGTATTCCTACATTGTGTATATACATGGTGAACTGTATACCTACATTGTGTATATACATGGTGAACTGTATACCTACATTGTGTATATACATGGTGAACTGTATACCTGTATTGTGTATATACATGGTGAACTGTATACCTACATTGTGTATATACATGGTGAACTGTATACCTACATTGTGTATATACATGGTGAACTGTATACCTACATTGTGTATATACATGGTGAACTGTATACCTACATTGTGTATATACATGGTGAACTGTATACCTACATTGTCTATAATACATGCTGAACTGTATACCTACATTGTCTATAATACATGCTGAACTGTATACCTACATTGTCTATAATACATGCTGAACTGTATACCTACATTGTCTATAATACATGCTGAACTGTATACCTGTATTATGTTCACCAGTAGTTCTCAAATATGGTCACAAACTTTATCCTAAACGATCACATATATAAAAAAACAAGGTCATTTTGCCCCAGGTCAGGTCCTAAGACAACAGGCATATGTCACGTGGAAAAGAGAAACTGCAATCAAGTCTTATTGGTCCATACTAGGCTCCTATGTTTACACACACCTCCATAGAAAACTCTCTCTCTTAGTCTCTCTCTCGCCCTTATAAATCTGTCTGTATATTGAAGGTGCCAAGTGTCTGGGGGTAATTTTATCAATATTTTCTATATAATTTATAATCTCAAGCGTTAGACAGAAACAATATCCTTTACATTACATTACATTACATCCCTACCTACCAAACCAGCCAGTCTTGAAATGTCTCCGTGAGGTCTGTATCCGGGGTCGGTCTCAAGCTAGGTAAATGTTATCCTAGCAACGGGTCACCTGAAGATTAAACACCCTAATGCTATCTAGGGGGTTAGGTTAAGATCTACGTTAGGAGAGGACTGGATTAGCTTGGGATGAGACTAGGTTAGGTTAGATTAGGATAGATTTGGTTAGGTAACAGGTTAGGACTGGGTTGGATTATGTTAGCTTTGGTTAGGTTAGATTAGGATAGATTTGGTTAGGTTAAGACTGGGTTAGGTCTCGTTAGCACTGGTTAGGTTTGGTTAGGTTAGATTTGGTTAGGTTAAGACTGGGTTAGGTCTCGTTAGCACTGGTTAGGTTTGGTTAGGTTAGATTATAACAAAAACAATAATATCCACTATAAAATACTATAAGTTAAAATACAAATGCAATGAAATACAACAAACTACAAAAAAATACAAAATAATGATTCAAATAATATTCAGATCAACATGTGGGCCAGCAGACCACTCAGTACACAAGACGCCACACTACATTAACGCCTTCAGTAACGCCTACCACAATCTACATCGTACTACTAAACTACTTCTACCACACACTAAACATGTATTAGGTCATTATAAACTAATACCTTTAAAGATGAATTGAAAAAGCCAATAGTTGAGTTAGTTGATTGTATTACATTCAGAACGGATCAATGTTTTTCTCGGTAGATTATGTATTTCACTTATAATCTGGTTTATTTTCGGTTCTATACACTGGTTTAGTTTAACACTTAATATAGAGTAATGTACTGGGGTTTATATGTGTTGAAATACGGGAAGGAGATAGATAACAGCCCGCGTCCTCCCTCGACCACGTCTGGTGATACACTAACATGTGACGTCACGGCCGACACCCATCACAACACCCATTCCTCCTCGCTAAAAATATTCCCCATATTATTCCATTATATCCCATTTATTTCCTTATAAAAGCCAACTATTAACATCCTGATAAGCACCTATTAATATTATACATTAAATTAACCTCTTAAATCACCATATAAAGCTACAATGATAGTTTTCACGAATTATAATCGGTGTTAAATTCTGTGTCTGCCAACTGGACACTCAAGGCTACAAGTCTCCTCAAGTTCATTTATCAGAGGAATGATAATATTTGAGTTATCGACCTGACAATAAAAATAACTATCAGGGAGAAATATTACAAGAGTTATTATGGAATTTATGAGCCGTAGATCAATGATAGGTGGAGGGTGACTCATTTACGGCAGAAATATTCCATAAATAATTAAAATCTATATTTCTTTATGCTTATCCTTCTATCCTTCGAGGGTTTATTTAATGTAACACCTCTATTTAAGGGAATATATGGAGATAAGTCCGCTATATGGAGGTTTCACTGTACGTTATATTGGTTCATTTACTTTACAGCAAAATATTTAAACTTTGGCAATAAATCAAACTTAGGTGTTTGGGATTAATTCATCACATGCAATAATATAATTTCTGCTGTTAATATGTGATAAATATAATAAAAGAATTAAGTTAAGATTCAGAAAAGGTTAATCACGTAACTCACATTGATTAATAGTGAGAGCAAATAATACGATTAATTTACTTTATGGCGTTTTAATTTATTTTTTACTTATTTATTTAACTTATAAATTGTCAGGGCTTTAAAATTGACGGAAATTGTGGGATAAAATCAGACCAAAAACTTACAAAACCAAAACCAGCCTATTAAGAAAAGGTCATAATGTAATATTCAACAACAGGTGTCTGCATTAAGAAGCCAAGTCAGAAAACTTATTACTAAATAAAAATTCTTTAATTTATTTTTAAGATCCTAAAAATGGCGGAGGAAATAAATTTTGATTAATCAGAAAGATTATATATCAGAATACATGATTTTTATAACCTAACATCCTGGCCATATCGCCGAACTGACATAAGTCATTACTGAACGATAACGGCTTTTAACATAACCAGTTAATGAATAATAAAAGTTTTATCTCCTTTATAATACTTTAAACATAATGAAACATCGTTTGGAGCTTCGTAAGTTAATTTCATCACTATTGTCGTAAATTTAAGTCAAGGGATAAAGGGTCATTTATTTACGTTCTCGAATTCATAGCCGATCCTTTACTTAACTGTGATTGGTGAACTAAAATGTCAACATACCAAATTCCAGCCAATAGGAGAAGAGGGCAGTCAGTCAGCACAACACCCCCATTTATGTTCTGCTGTTGATTTTTCTTTTTCTCCTCTGATTTTACTGACAAATGGCGCAGGCTGGTCGTGCTAAATAATACAGGCATGGCGCGCGACCGGGCACACTCTTTTGTACTAAAATAAATGAAAATTTCCAGATAAAATAATGTACGAAGTATAAGCGAAACAAAATAAAAAGGTTTTCAATTAGTCTTTAGTTAATTCTTAGTTTAATTCTTAATAAAATTACACAGGATAAAGCTATTTATCTCCATTATGATCTTTGAATATAATGAAACATCCATCGCTTGGAGCTTCAAGTTAATTTTATCATTGTTATCGTAAATTTAAGTCAAGGGATAAAGGGTCATTTCCTTTGCATTCTCGAATTTAATATCCAATCCTTTACTTAACTATGATTGGTGGACTTAAATGTCAACACACCAAACTCCAGCCAATGGGAGAAGAGGGCAGTCAGTCACCCCGACTTATGTTCTGCTGTTGATTATTATTTTTCTCCTATGATTTACACTACAAAGCTTGGTTGGTTGTGTGGGTGCCGTTATAACTCACTCACAAGTCTATAATTTTTTCCAGATAAATAAATGGACAATATAATACGAAAAACATTGAATAATAAGATTTTCAATTATTTTAGAGTTAGTCTTAAATGTTTTTAGTGTTCATTCCATCATATTGTCTAAAGTTAAAGGAAGACGAGCCCATTATTTTATGGTCTTCAAGTAAACAAATCCTTTACTGTGATTGGTGGACTAAAATGTAAATACATCAAATTACAGCCAATAGGAGAAGAGAACAATCAATCAGTACAACATCCTTATTTATGTTTTCCTGTTGGATATTATTCTCAGTTACGTTGTCAAGAAGCAAGAGGGAGCGTCGTCGCCTCTCCTCCCAGAATTTCTAAACAGCGAAAACAACTGTCTGTCTCTTATAGTACAATGTTTATTAATTACACCGATGACATTTGTAATACAGTGTTTGCTGCTTATAAGGACCATTTCTGTACAGTGTTACCTGCTTATATCGACCACTTGTGTACAGTGTTTGCTGCTTATAAGGACCATTTCTGTACAGTGTTACCTGCATATATCGACCACTTGTGTATAGTGTTTGCTGTTTATAAGGACCATTTCTGTACAGTGTTACCTGCATATATCGACCACTTGTGTACAGTGTTTGCTGCTTATAAGGACCATTTCTGTACAGTGTTACCTGCATATATCGACCACTTGTGTATAGTGTTGCTTATATGACCATTTGCACAGTGTTACATACACGACCACTGTGCATAGTGTTTTTCATGTTTATATGACCATTTCACAGGTTACCCGTATATAATGACCACTTGTATAGTGCCTATTATTTATATGACCATTGCATGTTACTGCATACACGACCACTTGTGCATAAAGTGTTTTGCTTATAAGATTCATTCTGCGTTGGTGGTTACCGTACATCGACGACTTGTGCATAGTGTTTAATGTTTATATTCATTTCTGTAGTGTTACCAGGTTACACGACCACTTGGTGGCAGAAGTGCTGTTTATAGACCATTGTACAAGTGTTAAGCCCTGCATACAATGACTACTTGTATAGTGTTTGCTGCTTATAAGGACCATTTCTGTACAGTGTTACCTGCATATATCGACCACTTGTGTACAGTGTTTGCTGTTTATAAGGACCATTTCTGTACAGTGTTACCTGCATATATCGACCACTTGTGTATAGTGTTTGCTGTTTATAAGGACCATTTCTGTAGTGTTACCTGCTTATATCGACCACTTGTGTACAGTGTTTGCTGTTTATAAGGACCATTTCTGTACAGTGTTACTTGCATATATCGACCACTTGTGTATAGTGTTTGCTGCTTATAAGGACCATTTTTGTACAGTGTCACCTGCTTATACCGACCACTTGTGTATAGTGTTACCTGCTTATAAGGACCATTTCTGTACAGTGTTACCTGCATATAAGGACCATGCTTGTACTTATTGCCTGCTTATAAAGACCATTTCTGTAGTGTTACCTGCTTATACCGACCACTTGTGTATAGTGTTTGCTGCTTATAAGGACCATTTCTGTAGTGTTACCTGCTTATACCGACCACTTGTGTATAGTATTTGCTGCTTATAAAGACCATTTCTGTAGTGTTACCTGCTTATACCGACCACTTGTGTATAGTGTTTGCTGCTTATAAGGACCATTTCTGTACAGTGTTACTTGCTTATACCGACCACTTGTGTATAGTGTTACCTGCTTATAAGGACCATTTCTGTAGTGTTACCTGCATATAAGGACCATTCTTGTACTTATTGCCTGCTTATAAAGACCATTTCTGTAGTGTTACCTGCTTATACCGACCACTTGTGTATAGTGTTTGCTGCTTATAAGGACCATTTCTGTACAGTGTCACCTGCTTATACCGACCACTTGTGTACAGTGTTTCCTGGTGGTCCTCAGTCCACATTCCTGCCACTAGGGTCCAGGTACAGGGTGTATTAATATACCTTCTCAGTGGAAACTTTTCTTTTTTTACACACACTGTACTGTACGTCGCCGCTCTTCAGTGACTACATCACAACACATTCACGTAAAGAGTTCTCAGTTAAATCAGTCGTTGTAAACAAGGAAATAAATAACTTTCTCCTATTATAACTGACTTTTAACTCACCCTGTTAAAGCTACATTTATTAACATCAGTTGTAACATTAATGAGGGACATCTGTACTGTACTGTACATCAGTTGTAACATTAATGAGGGACATCTGTACTGTACTGTACTGTACTGTACATCAGTTGTAACATTAATGAGAGACATCTATACTGTACTGTACTGTACATCAGTTGTAGCATTAATGAGACATCTGCACTGTACTGTACTGTGCTATACTATACTGTACATCAGTTGTAACATTAATGAGACATCTGTACTGTACTGTACATCAGTTGCAACATTAATGAGGGACATCTGTACTGTGCTGTGCTGTACTGTACATCAGTTGTCACATTAATGAGGGACATCTGTACTGTACATCAGTTGAAACATTAATGAGAGACATCTGTACTGTTCTGTACATCAGTTGTAACATTAATGAGGGACATCTGTACTGTTCTGTACATCAGTTGTAACATTAATGAGACATCTGTACTGTACTATTCTGTACTGTGCTGTGCTATACTGTACTGTACATCAGTTGTAGCATTAATGAGACATCTGGACTGTACTGTACTGTTCTGTACTGTGCTATACTGTACTGTACATCAGATGTACCATTAATGAGGGACACTTGTACTATACTGCACATCAGATGTACTATTAATGAGACACATCTGTACTGTACATCAGATGTACCATTAATGAGACACATCTGTACTGTACATCAGATGTACCATTAATGAGGGACACCTGTACTGTACATCAGATGTACCATTAATGAGGGACACCTGTACTATACTGCACATCAGATGTACCATTAATGAGACACATCTGTACTGTACATCAGATGTACCATTAATGAGACACATCTGCACTGTACATCAGATGTACCATTAATGAGACACATCTGTACTGTACATCAGTTGTACCATTAATGAGACACATCTGTACTGTACATCA